AGATTAAAAACACAGTGCTTTAATTCTACGATAATGTCCTTGTCGTGTTTTTCATCAGAACCAGAGCCTTCAAATGTTATGATTGCATTAGTATAATTTTTTCAGATGTTATGGGTCAAATTTGAAAGTTTATATTTAGAGTTTAGCGTTTGTGGTAAATGTTTCCTTTTACATGATTCTGCAATGGTGAGAGCAACTAAATGTCGTCCCTGTGTATTTGAGTTTAACTGTTTCATCACTGGCCATCACTTATACAAAGATATATGAACCCCACGTATTCAGGAGGAGCGGACTAAGTGAAAGACTAAGTGAAAATAATTGAATCTTCTATATGAAAATCGCTTTTTACTATTTCTCTGACAATATACGGTGAGAAAAATGATATTCAAAAAACCGGGCCGGATATATACGAGCGGTGCCTATATGTGAGATTATAGGGTAAGAAGCATACAGAAAGGACGTTAAATTTTTGTCCTTCTTCATAGCAGCGTAAGTGACTATACACATTACAAGCAATATCGTGACAGTTCTTTAACTTCTGAAAAATAACGAAATGCGAAATAATTGCATATAAAAATGAAAATAAAGCCAAATGGATCAAGCATTTACCTTACAAGTCGACTTTCATTCCTTGTTTAACTGTTTACTTGGCTTCCAACGGGAGCATAGGATGGGGGAGGGGGCTCAGGAATGTTCGTCTTGATCTGCATTGTTAAATCCAGAGATTGTCACTTTACCTTCAAGACTAGGGGTGGATGATCGTCAGTAGCAAAATTTATCGACGAAGACAAAATTTACCTGATAGATGACTTTACCAACAAAGAAAGGATTTTGTGGATCAACTGAAGATTTACCGACCAACTCATTAAGTAATGGAGTTGTCAAACCCCTACCAATGTCAATTGATCTCTTTAATAACTGCAAGAGAAGAGCCAAAATAAAGTATTTTATTAGGTCATATAGTCAATATTCAAATAGTTGCTAATGCATGCCTAGCGAAAGTTTCCGGCATTTCTGTATATCAAAATTTTCACTTGTTGCCCTTTTGCTCTTTGTTCATAAAGATCACTGGTCAAAGTTTGTCAGCTTTGCAATGGAAAACGCCTTTGCCAGCTTTGGGCCAGTAACAGAGTATATGGCGATCCTTGCTCTGGAACATTTAAATATCTGAGAGTTGTTTATCGATGCTATAAGCCCCCAAGACCAAGTGAGTATATTTAACATATAAAGTGTGACGCCAAAAATGTTTATTTTTAAGTTTATATAGAAACATATTTATGTTCATATTATGTAGTTGCAGATAATTCCAGTTCTAAACACGTAACCAAACAACAATGTTTGTTAGAAAACTTTTGCAATATATCTTCCTCGCTTCGAGAAAAACTCTACAGTCTTAAACAAAATTTAAAACAATCTGATACAAGGCTGCGTTTTTTTACTTTGCTACTGGTTTATGTATGTGTGGTGTTTGCAACTTTTGCTAAGAGGAAATAAATAGACTTTCCAAGAGACTACACAATCTCTCTCGAATAAAAACAAATATCGTTTGAATTGACTAATTTGCAGTCTCAATTGAATAGCTGCATGTGTGATTGCTTTGTCTCTAGCTCCGGCTACAAATGGCACGCTTGAATTTTGGATTAAATAGAATTTTGTAACACGTAGAGGACAGGATTTGAGTCCTGCCTAAATTCTACTAAAAGTGCTGCCCTGT